TGTTAAAATCATTAATGTATTGACAGGGGAACAATCGCCTTTGCCATAGACTGATGGAAGGACCATTTCAAAAGTTAGAAATGTGCCTGTTTGTAGAAAATTGACAAGCAATGATGTTTTTGAGAGTGTTTTTTGAACCCCATTTGCCATTGCTCTTCATTTCTTGCCACCAATTGCTGGTTGAGGCAATTCGGGGATCGAAACATCGTTGTCTGGTGGCAAATTAGTAGGGTATACTGATGTATCTGCACGTTTTGATGCACTGTAGATTTTGATCCCAATTCCCTCAGTACTTTGCTCCATTTCTTTTGAGAAAATTTAGAAGATTTAGAGCGGTTGAAGATTGAGAAAAAAAAGAAGAATAATGATCATGAATGTACTTTTTGGTTTATTTATAGTTTTGGGTAGGTAAATTAAATATGGCATAAACAATTTTTGAATTTGGTTAACTTTAAGTAACTAACTTGTTTCGAATGGTTGCCAGCCGCAANGATTCGAAGAGATTGGTTGATGTTTGAGGGAAATTATTTGGATATTTGGAACGGAGGGGGCTGAGGAGGTTTCATGGTGTAATTTTGGGACTGAAAGGGACCGGCGCCGCCATCCACGGCGGTGGGGAATTAGGGCGGCTCCATTAGGGTTCTTGAGAGGGGGGGGGGGGGGGAGGGGCTGTGAGGGAGACGATGGCCTAAGGGGGGGTGGGGGGTGGGGTGCCCGTTCGGACACTTATATATTAATGGGGGCGGGCTTCTGGACCGTCTGATTAATCAACATCGACGGTTTGGATTGAAACTCGATTAAACGGCATCGTTCTATTAAATAACTGGGCGGACCGGATGAGAAAAGGAATCGGGCCTGGTCTGGGAGTGGATTACACAAATTGGGCTAGGGGGAATTGGTCACAAACGGCCCAGTTCGAGTCTTTATTAAACAACCTTCTTTTAATTGTTTTTTTTTCTTTTGCTTTCTCTTTTTATTTCTTTTATTTATTTGTTTCCATTTTATATTTTTTTATATTTTCTGATTTTAATTACCAAATTCAAAAAACAAATTCAATTTCTAGGTACACTAATTCCTAACAAATTAAAACTAAAATTGCAAAAGGAACATTTTGTTACTTTCTCCTTCTCCCTCTTTTTATTTTAATTTCTTTTAATTTGGAACTAACAAAAATCCAGATTAATTCCTAAAATTAAGGAAAACCATTTAAACCCAAAAACGACAAATAACACAACAAATTAACATAAAACTACTCAAAAAGCAAAAATCAAAATTAAAAGCGCAAACTACACTATACTTTTGATTTTTCTTTTTATGAACCAATTAATTTCTAATTAATCCTAAAATGTAAAGTTAAACCCTAAATGCACATGCCAAATGTATTTTTTTATATTTTTCATATGAATTAAAATGCACAAATAAAATGCAAACAATTAACAGAAAATAACACAAAATTTATAAAATTGTAAAATAATGAAAGAAAATCATTTTGTTTGAATTTTTGGGAATAATTCATGTAGGGCAAAAATCACGTGCTCACATACATGAGTTTAGATATGTTCATTCCAATACTATTAATATAGACCTCAATAATCGAAAAGGATTTGTATTATTATTGGACTAGACCACTGCTAATTATAATGATGGACATTTCCAATCAACGAATTACAAGGAAAATGATAAAAGAGTTTAAATTTATGTGCAATGATAGCGAAAAACTATTTTTTCCCATCAACTTAAAGTGAACTACAACAGAACCTGTAGTCTAACTTGGCAGCCTAGAAAATAATGTAAATTACTTGATAAAATAAGTTCAAATACATTGATAGCATAAAAATAAGCGTCCATAAGTTATCCATAATAAACTTTACTATTAAGGTAGTTACATATGCGTCTACTTGACGCCCCAATTAGGGATGGCAAACGGGGCGAGGCTGGGCAAAACCTTAATGAGGCAGAGCAGGGCAAAGTCTTAACACACTTTCAAGAAATAGTTAATGGGGCATGGCAGGGATAGGGCAAGATTTTTGCTGCAAAGTCAACAAACAAACTAGAATTTTCTTTTACTTGCGTTTGCCTACTTCATAGGATGGAGGTTTGTCTTTTTTCTATGTTATGTTTTTATTTTTTCCTGGTTTGGGGTAGATATATAAAGTGTTGTCCACAAATTATTTTATTTTTAATTCTAGGCAAATATTTGGTTATATAATATTGGTGGATCTTGGGTGGGAGATATTTTGTGAATATGTTAAATGAAGCAAGAGCAAGAGTGCAGCTACAGTGAACTCCAGTGGTTTTTGAAGTGTTTATTACTCCAGGTCTTTAGGTAGATATACACACACATACATGAGAAGAAGTCAATCAACTGCTAGGTACAACTATTACTTACTATATCAGTAGATGCACGGTCTATGATTCTGAACTTCTTTTGATTAAAGCGTTGTGTTTGCTATTTTCCACGTCAAAAAATTGATTTTGCATGTACAGATATGATATACTCCCGTTGTTCCATTATATACGACACTCTTTTCCTTTTTAATCTCTTGTTAAAAGAAAGACATCATTCCATTTTAGCCTTAATGACATGCTCTTAATAAAGTAATTTTACGTCATGTAAACCGAAGCCATACCGTTATCAGATTTATCATGGAAATCATATTCATCTTTCTGTTTATAATAACATGAATAGTTACAGTTCCAAACTTAAAAGAAAGGAAGAAACGAAAAAGCTAAACGGGGCAGGGCGGGGCGGGGCAGGTTGAAAAAGAGAAACACTGTTAAACAGGGCAGTGCATGTTGAATTTGGGTCATGGCAATGCTTCACCTGCCCCGCCCTGCCCTGTCCTATTGCCATCCCTAGCCCGTATGAGAAAGCTTCAGACTTCTGAAGGCTATAAATAATTCACATAGAAAAGAAGGAAAAAACTATCTGGGCAGCAAACCATGGCGAGAAATGGCAATCTCAAACGCTTGCATTCTTTCTCCTCGAGCAAAACCATTGCAATCATAAGATGAAATCTCATTGATGTTGAGATCGACACAAGTCTGCACAAGTTTCTCACCAACACGTTCCGCTGCTTCCTGTGATTGAGAGGGACAAAGTCAAGGGATGATGCTATGACTTGAAAATCCCAAATTGCATTGGAACAAGAAAACATAGAAAACTGAGATCCCATCTTCAAATTATGTAGTCTTGAAATACCACTCACTATACAATTTGCACTAACATATTTATAATTATGTCTTAATATGCTAAAGATACTCACTACAGTGCTGCATGGTGGATCACCCCGAATTGATTTTTGCAAAGTGCTCCCGTAAAACAAAGACTTCTTATTTTGATCATCTACCAATGTAGCATATAACTGTTTTTCTGAGCAGAAGACTGAAAGTCTTGGTTTTTCAGAAGTTCCATTAAACTGCCAAGACCGAAAAGAAGTTTAATGATTACAGTGAATCAATAAACTTATACATATATGTTGTGTGTGTTTGTGCTAGAGAGAGAGTTCATGAAATGATTTTAGAGAACAATTAAGATTAAGCATTGCATGGCAAGCCAAATGGTAGAACAAATCAAGAAAAAGGCAAACAAACTTCATCAACATGGGACAAGCCAAAAGACATTTGCAGAGAACTTGAAACACGCCCGAAGATGAGAAGCAAGCTTAAGCTACAAGTTTACAAAGGCAATGGATAGAAGGATGACAAGGGCAAAAGTACAGATGCTCTACCTATTCCCACTAGACATAGAGATATGCAATGTTTTAAATGTCAATGTGTGAGTAAAAATGACATATGAGTATCCTAATAAAAGAGCTATGTTGTCAAAGCCTGACGGACCTTATGTAACCGGGAAATGTATGAAACAGCAATCCATTAGGTTAAAATCAAAGTCACCGTTGGCTACTTCCATACAAAAATATGCCAAGAATAAAAGTAAACTCTTTACATTTACCTTAAGCAATTTTCTATACTTGTTTTATTCTAAGGAAAAATGACTAATTTCTACAGCACGCTAGAGTGAGACTAGACAGTTAGGAGTTAGGCTTAGGATGCTACTGATCAGCTACTGATGCAGGGCTTTATATTATAGATATTAGTATACTTTCCTCTGTCTCGTATTTCCTATATTCCTTATATTGTTGTTATTTGTTATTTTATGTTATTTCAGGTTATGTTGTCTATTTTATGTTATTTATTATGAGTCTATTGCTAGTACTAATATATCGTCACTTGTTTCTGTCACTTGTTTCTTTCTTGAGCCGAGGGACTCCTGGAAACAACCTCTCTGCCCCTCGGGGTAGGGGTAAGGTCTGCGTACATATTACCCTCCCCAAACCCCACCTGTGGGAATATACTGGGTTGTTGTTGTAATGTATGATCTTAAAGCCCAGTTACAGTTTATCTCTTCCAAGCTAAAGCACTAAATGCATCATTCCCAATTATATTCTCCTAAACTAGTTTCTCCCTCTTGTCCAAACACCAAAAAATTGTAATTAAACCCATCAGCACCAAATCATGTAACATGATTCATGTTCACTAACATTACCTATTAGTGCAGCCAAATGTAGTACATAATTGGGGCTATAAAGAATCTCATGTGTTTTATTTACCGATTTCATGTGTTATAATTTACTGATCTCCTGTGAAACAACCATATAACTACAAGAAAATTTGTAATCGGTCATAAAAACCAATCTCCTCAATTATGTCTGGGGAAAAATATCAAGAGCATAATTTTACAACATACGTACCTTTTTCCGAATTCGTCTATTTCGAAGTTTAGCATTCTCAGTTCGAGAATTAGCTTCAGCTGTGGCTTGAATAACCAATGGCTTTATTTCTAAGCCTACAGAGGATAATATAGAAAGCTAAGTACACAGCAGAAAAGGATTTCCAGTACCCAAAAAAAAAAAAATCTATGAAAAGCTATAAACTTTAGAACAATTGACAAAAAACTTACTTTTATTTTGGATAGGAAGGGTATATGAGTGATTTACACAAATTCCAAAGAGCTCACAAGTCTTCATTTGTAGCGAACAAATATTACCCAGAGCAATAGTTGTCATTCTTACCGTTAGTTTCCCAAATATTTTCACTTGCTAATAGAAATTACAGCAGACCCACTTCTCAAAAATGGACATTTGCGTGATTAAAAGGTAGCACGGCTCACTGGAGTAACCATCCGCTCTTTCGGGAATTTAATCAAACAGGTTGTCTGCAATTCACCTTCTTGCATGCCATGGTTTTTATCTATCTGTGCAGATGATAATGAGAATGGAGAAGCGGTCAATTTATGGACTCGACTAGGGGTATATTGGGTTTGGGCTGGATATAAGCCCAACATAAGAAAAGTAGCTTGAAGATCCTTACTTCTTTGTAAAGAAGTTGAGTGCTACTATTAGTTCAGAGAAAAGAAGAGATAAATTAATGGCAACGGGGAGCAGTAATAACCATTATGGGTGGTTATTTTTGCAACTAGCATTCCCTTTCTTATTTATTCATGAAAGGTGAGGAGGTAGTTAACTTTAGCTGTTAGACTCGATTAACAACCTCCAAACACGAATACTGCTCTGTCTGTTTCATCTTATATGATACTATTTTTTTATTAGTTTGTATAAAAAAACTAATTTGTTTGTATGAAAAAATAATATAAATTAAGACTTCTCACTTTATTTTTAAAGGGATACTTTTATAGTCACAAAAAGTATATCCCTAACCCCAAGTTCAAAGAAAATATATGGAACACAGTTCATGAAGGTGTTAGAGAGAGAAAGCCTAACCAATCTCTATAATTTTTAAATCCCTTCCCCTTAATATTGTCTCACTGTCGCAGGAGCAAAAACTCAGAATTTACCAACCATGGAAATTCTCAATCATCATCAAGGTGTTTGGAAGAAAAATCCCCCACCACCTCCTGCGGACCAAGCTCCAACAACTCTAGACCCCAACTGAACAGTTCATCCTTATCGATCTAGGATAGGGCTTCTTTATAGTAAAATTTGCGAAGGAAGAAAATATGATCAGTGCACTGCACGGAGGATCATGGTTCATCATGGGTCATTTCCTATCTGTTCAAAACTGGGAACCCAACTTTATTCCTGCTAACATAAAAATATAAGTCACAGCCATATGGATACGGTTACCGCAGCTACCCACCTAATTTTATGACAAGAAAATTCTAGAAAAAGTGGGTAAAAGAATTCGCAAACTCCTAAAGATAGATATGTGTACCTCTGCTACTTTAAGAGGCAGATACGCACGGATCTGTATTCAGGTGCAAACAGAGGTCGGTAATAATTGGGGATCACAAACAACCCATATTGTGTATTATCTGCAAAGAGTGTGGGTGAATTGACCATATCTATAAAAAAATGCTCCTAAAAATAATTGCAGGCACACCGGAGCAGCCGGAATCCATAACAGGTAGTCAAAAACCATCGACTCTACAAGACCGGAAAATATTTGAGTTCCCAAGAAAGATGCCACACTCCTCCAATTTAAAAATCTAAAAAAGTTTCAAGACACGCTAAAATATAAAATTAATTTTTTCAATATTATCTTGAGTGCAATAATATTTAAATAATTAAATATACAATTAGAAGAATATTAATATTTTTAATATTATTAATTATTAAAAGTGGGTATCGTTAAATACTTAATAAGTAAAATAAAAAAAAAGCAAAATAAGACATTTAAGAATAGGGCTTAAAGCCCATATACTAATAGATTCCATTGTAAGCTAAAGGCATAAAGCCTTGGACGAAAGAGTGGCTGGTAAAATTTCAAAGAATACAAAGCAACCAAAACAAAAAAGGTTGAGACCTACGGACAAGAACCAGAAGCACTTTCCAGTGAAGTATTCACGCAGGCAACAAAAATTCTAGGACTCTTTACAAATCACTAATTCTTGAATTCAGGTATATAAAATTTTATATTCTCAATTATCCTACAGTATAAGAATTGAATAGTTAATTTCTTTCTTTCTTTGTATCAACATTAAGTTCAATGTTTAGGTATGAAACTTTAAAATTAATTAAGATGCCCTGGCTGTTGTAGAATCGATTGGTTGACAGGTATAAATTGGGTCGAATCCTACCTATTGGCTCGAGGAGTTTTGAGGTGAGTTGATATAATCCTTTACTAAAGTGGTTTAACTCACAAAAGCACGCATACAAGGGGTTTGATGAATTGCTTAAAAGAGTTAATATGTACTTAATTGGAGTGAGTGAGTACCTATTAGCTTAGAATTATTCTAGTTAAAGTTTAGATGATTTATTCTGATATATGTGCTTAAAATTTTAGATTTTTGTGTAATTCTTATATGTCATTTTCATGCTGAAAAAAAATTCATGAAGAAGCAAGAATCTTTAAAAATACTTTTGAATGTTTATTTTATTCTTATGCCATGCCTTTCATTTAAGGATACCAGTATGAATATGTATAAAAGATTTAGACTTGAAAAGTCACAAGAAGAAGTTTTAGAAAAAAAAGATTTTTGGGAGTATCGTTATCGTCCAGGCCGAGGGTCCTGACCAAGGTGTTGACTTCCTGAAACTGCTTGTGCCAAAGTAGGGAGCAACGAGCCGAAGGTCTCTTTGTTGGGAATTTACTTAGCCGGGCTAAGGTATGATACATGAGCGCTGAGAACCATGAAGCGAGTGACACCTCGTGGATTGGACCTTTTTGATCAGGTTGGGATCGAACCCGTACCGATCACACGGTGATTAAGACAGAGATAAGTCAGGATAGTTCGAACTCCCAAAGTATAAAGTTAAGTATTTTCTTTATAAGAAAGAAAAAAAATTCTTTTAGAATATTCATAAACTCATATTATGCAATTATTTTAGAATCGTTCTTATAAGCTTTATGTTTTTCATACATTTAGAATCTTTGCTCGTAATGTATATTTTAATTAAAGTTTCATCCCCTGTCGTTGAGACTCTCTGAGTACAATGGATGGTACTGACATTCTCTTTTGGGAACCTACGTTGGTCTGCGGTACAACGTAGGAACCGGTTTTGCAGGCGAGCAGGCTACGGGTTAGAACTTCCCTCACTTCCATTGCTATTGGTGAGCTCCGGTTTTGTTCGTGGAGTACTCCTTTGAGTCATCATTATTTAGATATTTCTTTTTTCACTTAGAGAACTGGCCAAGAAATCTCATCTCCTGAGTAGTGCGTCAGTTTATCAGTGCAGGCTTCATAGACACAGTCGGTGGGTTAAGATTCAAGTGTTTTTAATAATAACTTTGCAATATTTCAGTAGTTACTATGAATAAATTTTTGGAGTTGGTTTATTTTAGATACTTAAATTAATTAAAAGTGTTTGGTCAAAATATTTCCTTTGTTGCATATAAAGTTTGAGGTTATAATAATTTTTAATAAGCACAGATGGTTCGCTCGGTCAAGTTTAGCGACCGGGTGCCCGTCACAGCTTATTCAGAAAATGGTCGTGACAAAAGAACATGCGGTAAGGGAAACTAACAAAGAGCCAAAAATAGAAGCATTTGGTAGCAAAAGACGACGTAACAGTGACCAAGATCTACAACCCGGATTCCAATAAGTTCATTGTCCTCGGGGAACACGGGGACTGGGGGCACGAAGCCAAGAATTGGACATGCCCACATGAACAGGTCCAACACTCTAGAAATGGGACTGTTAGCACAAACCCAATTAACGGGAGTTTACAAAGCCATGTTAGGGCGTCAGACCAACACAATGAACCACAAGGGAGAAAGCCACACACACATCCATAGGCCCACCACACACCCTAACACACGCCTAACGCGAGCCCTAATCCCACCCACACAACCCCTGACACTCATAATACCTAATCAAGTTATAAGGTCTGTGTACACACTATCCTTCCCAGACTCCATTTCCCAAATCCCACATGTGAGATTATACAGGGTTGTTGTTGCTGTTGTATGATCGCTGCCAACTCCGCACTACTAAAAAGTAGCGAGAGAGGGTCGCAATAGCTTTTACCCGATTTGTGGGTCGGGATCGATTTCCACAGAGAGCTAGGATTGGAGTCGGGTATCTATTTAGTTTGGGATTGCGTATTGGTTCCAAATATCACTTCCAATCATTTTTTAGTTTTCTTTAATAATCTACTATTATCAAACTACTAATTATAATTGCAACTAGATTAAAGAGTAAATTGCTACAAGTTGTATCTAATAGATTAAAAGGCAATAGGGTAGTGACTTTCACCTAGGTGGCCAATTGACGGGTAATTGCATCTAAGGCACGATTGACATGATTGGGGAAATATGCTATAATAGTTGCACGATTTTATCCACTCTCACACCTGTCACGACCCTAGTTCACCAATCGTGAACATGTCGTGATGGCACCTAGTCCCCACGATCAGGTAAGCCAAATATTGCGAAAAATATAATAAGTGCGGAAAAACAGAGTAAACCAAATTAAATAACTGGAAGAAGTCTCTACTGTATGCCACTCGGTATGTACAACTCAGTAACACAAATCTAATACAATTCCCAAAGACCCGAAAACTCATGGGCAACACAGGCTATAGAAATGTTTAGTAAAGGCTCCAAACACCAGAATGTCTAACAACCGAAAGAGAGAAAACTAAATACTAGAGATAGAGTAAGAGGGAGACTCGTCGGTCTGCGGACGCAGCAGATCTACCTCGAAGTCTCCGAAGTCCTCCTGCCTCACTGATAGTGCGCCTGGGTAGAGGTACCTGGATGATCTGCACATGAAAAACATGTGCAGGAAGGGCATGAGTACACCACAGCGGTACTCAGTAAGTGCCAAGCCTAACCTCGGTTGGGTAGTGACGAGGAAGGTCAGGGCCCTACTGAGGCAAAAATACAACAATAGCAATAATTAACACTGTGGAAATCTCACAGAAATAATACATACAGCAGCGAAATAACGCAAGTCAACGAGGCAATACTAACTACAAGGATAAAGTAAAACACAGGATAAACAAAGCCCAATATCAAAGATGCCAATGAGGGTCTCCCAGGATACCGTCCTGTAGCCCTCTTCTCAACTGACCAGTGGATCTCCCGGGATACCGTCCCGTAGTCCAACTCACGTACCAATACCAAGGATCTCCCGGGATACCGTCCCGTAGTCCAATCATCAACGTGCAGGGGGATCTCCAGGGATATCGTCCCGTAGTCCCAAAATAAAAGTGCAGGGGGATCTCCCGGGAATCGAAACCGTAGTCCCAAAGTAAACAAACAAGGGGGGGGGGGGAGCTACCGGAATCCCACATCCGTAGTCCCAATGTAAATGTGCAATCACAGCCAGAAACAACCCAAGGAATAAAGCACGGAAGACAAATACAGATAGAACTAGCCTAACATGCTTAACGTAGGGCAAATCAATAATTTAAGCAAGTAGGCAGGCAAAACAGCTAAACATGCTTTTTCCTAATCTAGCATAAGTCCAAACTACAAATAGAACAAGCAAATAAGGATAAGAACTAAGTTTCCATAGCTTAAGAGAAGACCGGGATTTCATCAATCGGCTCAAGTACGCGCTCGTCACCTCACGCACAAGGCACTCAAATATCAAGTAAAATCCTAAGGGGAAAGGTCCACCACACAAGGTTAGACAAGCCACTTACCTCGAACCGGCTCAATATCACTAGAAATCGCGCCTTTGCCACGAGTATCTGACTCCAAATGGCCCAAATCTATTCAATTCAATTACATATCGTAAATAATATTGTAAACAACTGATTCCACTATTAAAATTAAAGCTAGGGCAC